CTTAGGCAGAGGAAGTTTGTGTGACATGTACTTGCCCAAAGAAAAGTGGCCAACTATTAGTAATAATGGGGCTAGAACTAAAGGTGTCTTCCTAATTTCTCCCCCTGTGTTCTTGTCTTCTTTCTTCCTAATACTGTCCTGTCCTTGTCACTGAGGCTCCATGACTTCCTTAAAAGTTGTCTGAGCATCTATGAAGCTTTCCCGAAGAATATATGGATCTCAGTTAATCTTATTTAATATTAATTTTGTTTAATTTAGTAACTTACATTTGACTGTGTTCCAAATGCACCTTGATTCTTGTTACCTCTTATTGCCTAAGTTACATCCTTTGAAGTGCTTTTCACATTTTCCACCTTTATCAGTGTGTATTGATACCAGTATTGGAGGATTGGCAGTATTGGCATTAGTATTAGAGAAGTGGTCTTGTTGCTTCCCTTTGAATAAATTCTTAAAATATTTCGTAGGCAAATTATAATTTATTTTCTGAGACATTACTATCATTTCATTCACAATATTTTATGTATTAACTGAAATGTATGTACTATTGGTTTGGAATATATCAGAAAACAAAATGCTATTTGTTCCTTAAAAGATATAGAATGTGAACATTTAAATATGAGAATAAAGACGATACCCTAAGGAGCTGCTATGCTGAACTCTGTGTTTATACCAACTGATACCTGAACTGAAAGGGTACAGGAAGAGTAAGTGCCTGCAGTCGCTCACGTTACTCATCTCCACCCTACTTCTCTCGGCATCTTTCCAGCACAGGATTTTCTTTGAAGTCACTGGGTGTTTCACACGCGGGGCACAGATGGGTGCAGGGAAATGTAGCCCCAAGGTAGTTCTCTTTTTCTCCTACTGAGAGTCTGGCCACCCAGCGTGTGACGTTACAAGTCAGCTCTTTGTCCTTGGTGTACTTTATTGTTCTGTTTTTAATACTGCCCTGAAGACTCAGGTAACATCGGGTTGCCAGTCGCATCCTTGCTCCAAGGAGAGGATGTAATTAACCCACAATAACAGCAGTACCATTAAGCACAATGCATCGTTTCTTTAAAATACCACAGGCAGATCATGGGGTTTTTATGGGAACATCAGCTGCCTTCTTAGCAGCTGGTTTTCTCCCAGCTGCCTGTTTATCACCAGCTCCCAATACGTCCCATTAATGTCATTCGAAGAATATTAATGATGGAGTTTCTCGCTAGAGAAGCCTAAGCTCCCTTGCGTTGTGCTAAGATGATGTGTTTTAGGGAGCATAAAGGGGGGTCTTGTTTCAGAACAGGGATCGTTGAAAGTTTTAGACTCAGAATGTGTCTTTTAATTTCCAGACATTAAACAAAAAGGAAATACCTGATGACAGGGCTGACGATGTTCATCATTAGTTTACAAAAATGTGCAGAATTCCCATGGAGCTTTCTGCTGCTTGCTTGTGCGTGCTCCCCTCCTGTGGGATCACCATTAGTGTTAGCATCAGATAAGTTACATACATAAACTCAGAAACTCAAAAGGAGCAGCAAAAGATCATTTCAACATTTTTTAAATTAATAAAAATTACATAAGGAAATTATTAATATCCAGTATTTAGGGATATTCACTCACTTAAAGAAAACAGATAAATGAGATGTTTAGTATTACAAATCTAAATATTCCTTTTTAAAAAAATAAGTAATGTAACTTTTTATTTTGTAAGTTCTTTAGAAGGCATTTTGCTGTAATAACTTCAAGTACAATTCAAGAACAAGTGAATAGATGTTAATACTCTTTCTCGCATATTACTTTCTGTTCTTCAATATTTTAAATTTCTAAGCAATTCCTATTTATCCGTTAAGGTCAGTTTAGATGGTATGTACTCCCTGAAAACTTAACAGACAGCCCTGTATTGGGTACCCATCTGCGTGCTAGGTTACCTTACTATAATTACCTGTAATGCAACTGTTACCAAACTTCATTCTATAAAACTCCTTGAGGCTGTAAGTTCCTTGAGGACAGATGCACATTTTGTCTGCAGCTGTCAAATAGAATGTCCTGAATAAATTCGTCCACAGCACCTGGCAACAGCATGTGCTCAGTAACTGTCCACTGAATGAACCTGTGAATGATTGAATCATGTTGCTTTTTTTTTCCAGCTCCATCTTCAAAGGCTCTGCTGTGTGTGTGTATAGCATGGCTGACATCAGAGCAGTCTTCAATGGTCCATATGCTCATAAGGAAAGCGCAGACCATCGCTGGGTGCAGTATGATGGAAGAATCCCGTACCCCCGACCTGGCACAGTATGTATCCAACTTAGTCATCAAATTATCTTCTTAAGCCCAAATTCTCTTCCTAATTCTATTAGAATAAACTATGCTAATCACCACAGCAACATGCACTGTGGTTTTTAAAATAACAATTATTTATTTACAGTGATGTATTAGCATGTCTGGCCTACACTGGAACTTAACAGTTTTCTTTTGAGTAAGAATTTTAAGTACTACAGGAAACAATGGACTATTGTTTGGACCGTAAGGGGCAGACTACCCTGAGAATATAGTGTTTATCTTCAATATGTCTATAGAATTGTCAAAACGATGTGGTATCTAGAATGACAAATATTCCAAGTTAGATGGAATATTAGCATTCATTCCTCACATACAGCTCCGCGTATAGCTGGAGTCTTCCTGTCCCCACTTCTACTCTAAAAAGACTACATCACCTATAATCTTTCATTTAAATGACCCCCTCCTCGTTCTGCATTCATACTTTCTTTATCCTGTTGCACTTTGGGATTATTTGCATATCTTAGATGTGGAAAAGATCCAGAGAATTCTGAGTCCAAAATTCTATTCAGACAGCATAAATCATGTTTCAAGCAGAGATAAAACAATAAAACGAGTAAGAAATGTGTTTTAGAGTTTATGCATCTGTTTAAAAAAACTTTTAAAATCTGGATGTGCATTATAAGTGGAAGGCTTTTGATGATGTGGTTAAAACAGTTTGTTATTTAAATATTTTAGGAGTAGTTAACTGACCAAATGTAAAGGTAAAATGTCTTTTTTAAAAAATTTAGGATACATTATGAATATTTCTACCACGAGCTCTAAAATAATCATCAAAATCTCAGAAAAATTGTTTACTTAACCCATCTAATTCTACTTTTTATCTTTTCGTATGTTTGTTTTTAAAGGGGAAATAGCTGGTAGCCAGGCTTTCTGAATTCTTTACAAATCTTAATATAATCTTTATAATGACTTTGTGAAGCAAGGGCTGTTATTATTAATGCCAGGTCACAGGTGAGCAGGCTCAGGCACAGGGAGGTGCAGTAACTTGCCCAGCGTCAGGAAGCTAGCAAGCGGTGCAGTTGAGTTTTAAACCTGGGTCTTCTGGTGACAGAGTCCAAGCTCTTAGTCCTTGAACTCTGATACTATATTGATAAATTTGTATGTTAAATTATATCTATTTTTCCCTTCCACAAAAGATCTTTAACAGAATATATATACTATATATGTAATGTATAGTCATTATATATCTACATTAAATATATATATATATATATGTATACATATCAAGTTTGAGGGTTTTTTTTTTTTGAAGAGGTTGGTTAAAATTCAGGGGGATCTCTAGTTGGGAGAATTTTACCATACTTTTGTTGTTAAGTATCATAGACTCATTCTGAGTTCTTTCTACATGAGTTTGTTTTAAAAAATAAAGACTGGGACCATTCATGCCATTAAAAAAAAATTCAATTATCTGGATGTTACAGGAGAAAGAACTTGGAACTAAAACCATCTGCATCAATTCCAGAAAATGATTTGCCTACCTCTGTACAGTAGTGGAATCTTCTAATACTAAGATGTGGAAATCAGTCCTCAAAATGACCTCCTGCCGATACATCCAGCTCACGTCACTTTCCAGTGACAGTGCAGGTTGGAGGTGCTGCAGAGGTGGTTGCGGTCACATTTCTGGTCCTGCCCGAGAGAGCTGTGACTGCCTTGGTGCTTAAAGACAACGCCCACGTTACATGACTTTCCCTGTTAGCGCAGGTCTCTTCTCCCACGCGTAAGTGACCCCCTCCCCGAGAGGAAACATAAATGTCAGTGAGGAGAGGTTTTCATCAAAAGAAGCACCACATTATGTTGACCAGAGCATCCTTCGCTGTTGGAGTACTCCAAATACACAATGGTTACACTGTAGATATTTTCTTGAAGGGTTCAAAGTTATCTAAGGAAGAAGCTGCATCCAAACTACCAAAAAATACTTCTCTTTAACAGTTTAGAAAAGGAATAATAGTATCAGGCATAATGAAGTGACATTTAACAAAGTTATTCTTTTATCCTTTCTGAACATCAGTATTTCTCACAGAATCTCTGTGCTTTTGTAAATGTGTCAACACATTTGCATCTGAGACTAAGCTTTGAAAATTATGCCTTTTAACTAACCTTTAATCGGTTGGCCCGTCCTCACCACTGTTGGTAGCAGAGACAAAAAGACAAAGCCTCCCTTGGGAGGACTGCGGCTGAACACTCTGTTTGATCAGGTACATTATGTCCTTTCATAGCATTTAGGGAAAGAAAAATATATCCTAGTTACTGTCAGAGATTATTTATCTTTCTTTGTAGTTTGGGTTAAAAGGGGCGTTCTTTCTTGTTCTGAGCTAAACTCAGATTATGTCTGTGTTGGTTTTAAGATGAGGAGCAGCCAGATAAGCTAAATAATTTATTTGTGTAAAATAATATCACTGAGGTATTTTTAAACTATTTTTTTTATTGACCATCTTTTTCCATTTGGTTCTTTGTAAGAACCTACCATATGGTAAGAAAGCTACCATAACCAAAGGAGACCAGTTATTTCTAAATAACCAGTTAGTTTCGTATTCTCCATGAAATCTGTGACCAAATTAGAAGGTGTCTGAAACCATACATACATTTTTAACCTTTTGCTTCATTAATTATTGAGTTATTTTTAACATGATGTCTTAATTTTATTTGCTATTACTCAGATTTTTCACATTTTGTTTTACATTTGGAGGGTTGGTGCTATCTGATACGAAAATTTGTTACACAAATAGTCCTTTTATGAACTAACATATTTAAATAGCTGTCATTTAATAACTGATATTATATTCCGTGGTGTATCAAATAAGGGCTCTTGTTAAGTTTGAGAATCTAACAACCAGAATGGATGAGAGAGACCATGCAATTCAGCCTCGTTGTACAGGGAAGGAAGCAAATGCCCAGAATAATAACTTTCTCAGTATCATGTCACCAAACACAGCAGAATGAAGAGGGGAGTTGGGGTTTTCTGACCAGTCCTCTCTCCTTTGTTCTTTAATATTCTCCAGTATTCACCTCTCCCCTAAATTCATCTGCTAGATATACTACTGAATGCCCTATCTCAAACTAGCTGCATTTAGTTTTTACAAATTGTCCTGACATTCTTGCTCATGTTGTTTTTTTTTTTAAGCAGCCTAATCTCAGTAATTTTTGTTTAAGTGATGCTAAGAGGTTTCTTATCTTCTACAAACCTCTGGTTTGGACATTTTAGTCAAAAACCATTATTGAACCCGTCTCATGATCAGAGTCAGTGGTAAAGACTTCTCTGTTATCTTAGTACATCCTTAGAAACAAAATGAACGGTGTAGATATTACTATCCCACTTTTATAGGTAAGAAGAAGCCCAGTGAGGGAAAGCACGTGCTCAGGGTCTCATGGTCTGAGGTGGTGAGACTGGGATTCAGCTGAGACCCACATACTCCAAGTCAAATGCCATCAGCCTCCATGCCGTTCTGCCTTCAAAGTGATAAAATCGAACAGCCAGACAGAACCTTCCCTTGTTTCACCAGGGAGTGATCTGTTCCCTACAAAAATGATGAACAAGTGTCAAAGCCTTATTGCATTCGCCATCTCTTTTATTCTAATTTGGGGGAACACATCTTACTTTAAAAAAGCGTTGCTGAG